CCTTATAAAAACCTGTTGAACATCAACTGCATTGCTCAAGGGCCACAGTTACTCAAAGCCAGCAGATAATGGCTGCATCATGTAACAGAACAAGTGTTATTATTGTTTACCTTTTAAAGTAGATATATGATGCTTTTAAAGCCTTCTTTGTCACACTTAAATCATTCTGTTTTGCTCTTTACAAAATGGAAATGCAATGCTTTGGTCTGAATTCCTCCACAAGCCCCCTCTTTCATCAGTTTTCCAGCTTGATAGAAGGGTGGTAACGCAGAAAAATCTTACTTACAAATGAATGAAGATGTCAATAGAAGACTTGTCCATCCAGACTTACATGTTGGAGCCAGAGTCTGACCCAGAGCCAGAGGAGAATGAAGATGATGGGATTGTAGTTTAGACCTTATGTTTGTTTTGTTGCAAATAATTTGATGTATAGTTCAGAATACATCATAGAAAATAAACAAAACTGAACAGGTTGAAAAATATGTTCTAAAAAGAAAATAAAGATATCTTTGCAGCACCATGGGAGACTAAATTGAGCTTTTCTGCCTCCTAGAGAGTTCCAAATACACAACAAAATGTGACTAAGCAAAAAAGTGGATTTTGCATAAATGTTTGCTCTAAATAAATTTTTGTTGCATTCAATCATAAATTTAAAATTGATTTACAATCTATTTTTATACTAAATTAAGTAAAAAAAAAAAACTGGTGGACCAGACAGAAGTCACCCATGGGCCAGATATGGCCTGCAGGCCGCTAGTTGAATTGCCCTGATCTACAACTGCTATGTTCTAAAGACATCCTAATTTAAGATGGCCTTAGCAAACACAAAAATGGTTCTAATTCTATGAATTTTACAGACATTGAGCTGAATTTTGAAATACTAACAGGTCAGAAGTAAACACTTGTTGCTCTTAAGGTTTACCAAAAGGGTTGTAACACTGATTGCTCGTCCTAGCATAATTTTAATTTAAAGCTGGTGGAGGGTGACATGCATTTGTTTATTTATTTACAAATAAACAAAACAAATCCTATATACAACAAATAATACAAATCACAAGTAAAATGAAAGGCAGCAGAAAGAAAAAATTCTTGCAGTATATCTGCCCCAATTTTCCAAAAAATAATTTCAAACAATAATTTTCAAGTAACAAAACTAAACAAAAGCTTTAACTCCTTCACGTACAACAGTAACAACATTATACAATTTCATATTTCTTTAACAAACAAACTCTTATCATTCTCTTAAACAAATACATTGAACCACCATTTTTATAATCACTTTCTAGATTATTTCACAGTCGTATCTTCGGACCGGTGTACATTGGTTCTTCAAGTTTGTTCAAATTTTAGGTTTTACAAACATATCCTGCTGTTATTCCTTAAGATTACATTAGATTTCCCTTTTAACAAAATTTGATTGGATGTTTAAAGGAAAAATGTATGAGCCTCATGTATAACCTGCAAAATATTATAATCACCCAACTTATAACATTTTGATAATTTCAACTGATAAAATAATATATTTGATGGATGACAGTAATGTTTTCTGGTGATAATTCTTATAGCTCTTTTCTGTAAAATAAAAATAGGATTAGTAATTGTTTTACATGCATTCCCCAAGACTTCTACACAATAAATCAAATGTGGAACAATTATTGCATTATATAGTATAAATAGTGCTTTTTAATTAAATAACTCATTTACTTTATACAGTACAGACATGGATTTGGCTTTTTTTTATTCTTAAATAATTTATGTGAGATTTCCATGTCAGTTTTTCATCAATGATGACTCCCAAAACGACTCTAAATGGAACATCAATAGTTCTTTTTCTATTACTGAATATCATGTAGTTAGTTTTATCCAAATTTAATCATTTATTAAGTTGAAACCAAGTTTGTATTTTTACAAATTCTGTTTGCATCATTTTCACCATCTGTTCTGTATCTTTACCCAAACAAAATAATGTAGAATCATCTGCAAACAATACACATTTAAAAAGCACCGACAGATTTACCCAGTCATTTACATATAATATAAATAACTTTGCTCCAAGTATAGAACCCTGAGGCACTCCACATGAGACATTAGAGCTCAGATCTTATTTTATTTATTTGTACAAACTGTTTCCTGTTTTTCAGATAACTACATACCCACTGTAGTGCTGGTCCTCTTGTGCCATATTTATTCAGCTTTTTAAGAAGAGTAGTGTGGCCAGTAGTGTCAAATGCTTTCTTTAAAATAAACATTAACACAGTATTGTTTTTGATCAGCCATTTTTGAGAGCCATTGATGTAGAATTATTAGCTCTAAAACCATATTGATTTTTACTTAAAATATTTTGTTTATCAATAAATAGATCTAATCTGGTCACAAATAATTTTTCAATTTAGGAAAATCATTTGCAAAATCAATACATATAAAGTCTTATTCCACATGTCTCAACCACATTGTGGTTTTCAGGTGGTTTCAGCTCCTTTGGCAGGATGCAGACATGAAAAACCCATATTCTTTTTTTGTGTGTGTTTGATTCAATCTTTGACATGATTATGCTTCACTTATGCAAACACGGTGGTATGTTATTTATACGAGGGCTGTGCAGGGAATCAGTGGATGTGACAGGTGTTGTCATGAACCCATCCTCTGTAAGGTCAGCTGTCAAGAGAGGAGCGACAGCTCCCAGAGCAGCACAAAGCCATCTGTTTGCTGCTTCCTCCTCTCCTGGCTTTGCTGTGAAAAACAACAGTTATTATAGGAAAAAATAAAAAGAAAACTTCCTTACAGCATGTTGACGACACAACGAGCAGTGTGCATTTTATCTCATCAGCAGATCATGCTGCTGGGCCTTTTTTTTTTTTTTTTTTGTGGAAAAATCTACAAATAGAAGCACAGCGTCATATGAAAACACGTGTACAAATAATGCAAATGAGTCACTAAATGCAAATTTCTGCTGTTAAATTAGTAATTTGGTCAGATAAGAAGAATAAAGAACAGAAGCAGCACAGAGGATGACAGAGTCGCTCAAAGATGTCAGCTCATTTTTATATCCAACTACGACATTAAATATAAATCTTAAAGTCTGCTTCTTGTTTTCAGGTGTGACAGTTTTCACACACGCTTCACAAAGTTACGCTCGGGTGTGAAAAAACCCAAACAAATGTGTTCAAGAGTTTTGCTGTGTTTCCTGCTAACTCTTTAACAGCCCAGAGGGATCTTCTCATCCACTGAGGTTGTTTTTTTTAACCGAGCTTATGTGACCTAAATAAGATATTACAGGAAAAAAAGAAAGAAAAAAAAAGAGTGTCTGCAGCCAGGATACAAAACGTCACAGACAGCTGGTTGACTTGAAAATGAGCTATCTTGGGCAGAGGAGATGTTTTCACAAACAGGTTGCACCCGTTCCTCTACTGTCACGTCGGAAACGAAGCCGAGGAAAGCTCTGATCCAACGTGTGATTCGACACATGAGGGCCGACAGCTACAAAACATGACCTAGGGAACAAAACTTCTGATCAATGCAGTGATTTCTGCCCCTCAGACGGATACTGGCTCCAAGATAATAAGTAGCCGAAGAGGAAAACAATTGTATCTTGATGTGTCTGTCATTAAGCGACCACGTGTTTCAGACTTGAATCACCGACCGACTTTCGAGTTAAAGAAAGGTATGCTTCGGTGAAGAAAGGCTTCGTATGCATTTATTAGAAGCTCTGGTGAAAGGTGCTGATTGTACTGATAAAACAGGTGCTGTGCACACTATAATAAATACAGGAAAAATAGAGCCGCAAACAAAAACAATAGAGATATGAAAGTACTGCATTACACAGCTTTCCACATAAAAGCAACTTCTACGATTAACTTACCAGAGATTCACAACAGTTACAGTTTACTTACAAAAAACACAAATAAAGTGAGTTAATAAGCATTCAGAATGTCTTGAGAAGCAAACCGAGTGCTCTCAGGTATGCTCCAGTGTCGGGGGAGTCTGTGTGTGTGTGTGTGTG